CCAGACATGTGGAAATAATAACGAAACGATTTCGAAACGATTTCAAAACGGTTTCAAAACAATTACGAAACAATTACGAAACGAATTGAAAAATTCGTTTCGATTTTTAGTTGCTCCTGAATGGTTCAATATTGCTTCGTTATAAAAAAAATAACGAATTAATAACGAATTACGAAATTAACGAACGAAACCCCCCAGACCTAATTTCCCCATTAGTTAATTACAGTTAAGAAGATAGTGCCTGTTCCCAGTGAACAAGATTGCAAGAGCCAATAGACTGTTAAGAAAGCTTGAAAGTACCTGTTTGTTTTCATCAATAAAGAACTTTGTTGGATTTACTTTAAGCAATCTAAAGACTCTGGGGGAATCTAAGGGCCTTTAATCTGAGGCAGCCCCGGCATCCCGTTGGGCACACAGAATGTATGTCCTGTCTACAGTCTAATGCACAGGCCCAGCGTGCGGCAGCACAGTAGGAACCAATTTGACGCACATGTCTAGTTATTGTAACATACTCAACATGTGATTGCCTCTGAAAAGTATTCAGAAACGTCCTCTGGAAGAAAAAGATACATCCACACTGTTGAACGAGACAATGGTCATCCCCCCCTCCCCCCAATAAAATAGAAAGGAAGTGAAAAGCACTAAATGTCACTTACTACTTTGACACAACTATTGAAACTTTGGGCTAGACAGCTCTAAATTTGTGTAACTGCACAAATAGCTGTATAATTGCTGGAAACAAAGAAAAATAGGATTCTTCACACAAGACACTTCCATTCACTTTTATTGCAAAGCCCTTGACATTTTAACAAAAAGGTACCCTTTTTAAAATGCACAAGAGTGGCTTTGGAGGTTTTAATCTGCTTTCAGTTGAAAATAACAGGTATCAAGTGCTTTAGAAAGTTTCGGAAAACAAACACAGGCTGTCTGCAAATGTTTGCATATCTTTCGGAAGAAAGGAGAAGGCCCAATCGTAGCAGGGGGCAGCAATTGCAGGGGGGGGGGATCTAATCAGGAACAGTACTTTAGTGCCAATCGTTTAAAAAAGTTTTAACTGTCAAGTTATTGTTCTGTTCTCTTTTTATGAAGACCTCATTGATGTGCAAGCGGGAACGTCATAGAGAAAGGAGTGCTTTATACTAGGATTAATTACTGACCTCTGTGGCACCACATAAAGATTACCTGCTGCTTTTCACAGCCCATTTCCATTACTCTGTGCAAAGGCAACACAATGCAGAGGACAAAATGTCAAGGACTAGATGATGCTGTGTTATTTATATTGTAAACTATTTATTTGCAATTGAGACTCGGGTTTACATCTTTCAATGTGACTAGTAAGCAGGATAAGTGGCGATTAGGGCTGTCCAACCACGGAAAAATTTGTTTCTAAATTCGATTCGTTTTTAGGGGTTTTTTGTGTTTTGTTATTTAAAAGAATTCCTAATTTTTTTCTTTTAAAAAGTTCGATATTTACGAAATTTCGGAAATTACGAAACAATTTCAAAACAATAATGAATCGATTCGTTAATGGCGGACGCGATTGCGCAATACGCTAAAAAACCCTCCAAATGGGACAGGGGGGGCTTCTGAAGCTTTCCTCCCTCTGTTGTTGACTGTTGGTGTGATAAATTTTTTTTATCACTGATAAAACAAACAACGACTATAAAACTTGCGGAATTAATAACGAAATAATAACAAAACAATTTCGAAACAATTACGAAACAATTTCGAAACAATTACAAAATGAATTGGAAAAATTCGTTTCGTTTTTAGTTGCTCCTGAATGGTTCAATATCGCTTCGTTATCAAAAAAAATAACGAATTAATAACGAATTACGAAATTAACGAACGAAACCGCCCAGCCCTAGTGGTGATCCTATTTCACATTTACACCAAAAACTTCAAGGTAAACTTATCAAAGACGGAAACTTCAAGAATAAAATGACTAAATCCAGAACTTGAGTCAAGGTATCATTTTGGCTATTATTTATTTATCATGTCAGAACCAAAATGAGAATGTTTTTGTTTATTCGTTCTGTCGCTTCCGACTTCATGATCTCATGGACCAGCCCATGCCAGAGCTCTCTGTTGGCAGTCATCACCCCCAGCTCCTTCAGAGTCAAGCCAGTCACTTCAAGGATACCATCCATCCATCCATATTTATTTATTTATTTATTCAACTTGTATACCGCTACTTCCAATTTGGCTCGGAGTGGTTTACAGAAACAGATTACTGTATATACTTGAGTATAAGTCTAGTTTTTCAYCCCTTTTTTAAGGCTGAAAAAGTCCCCCTCGGCTTATACTTGAGTCAAGGTTATTTATTATTTTACTCTGTTATTATTATTAATTTCATTTCATTTATTATTTTATTCTATTTATTATTATTACATTTATTATTTTACTGTATAATTGTTGTTATTGCTACATTCATTATTTTACTCTTTTTATTATTMTTGTTGTTATTACATTTATTATGTTARTCTCTTTATTATTATTGGAAGSATACGTAAGCACATTTACATTGAAGAAGGTAAATAATCATTTAATCAGAGTTGGACAGTCTTKTCTTAAATTACCATTTTTGTAAATATTCAAAAATATATAACCTACTGATTCCTCAATTAATGTAATTTAAGTGGTATCTATTTTTATTTTGTAATTTAGTAAATTACAAAATAAAAATAGATACCACTTAAATTACATTAATTGGGCTGTGCGGTTTCGTTCGTTAATTTCGTAATTTGTTAATAATTCGTATTTAAAGTGGTTTACGATCCGATATAGAACCATTCAGGAGCAACTAAAAATCGAAATTAATTTTGAAAATTTATTTCGTAATTGTTTTGAAATTGTTTCGGAATTGTTTCGTTATTATTTCGTTATTATTTCCGTATGTCTGGTGCAAGTTTTAGGGTTGTTGTTTGTTTTATCAGTGATAAAAAATAAATTATCACACCAACAGTCAACAACAGAGGGAGAGGGAAGCTTCAGAAGTTCCCCCTGTCCCATTTGGAGGGTTTTTTAGCATATTGCGCAATCACGTCCGCCATTAACGAATCGATTCATAATTGTTTCGAAATTGTTTCGTAATTGTTTCGTAATTTTACGAAATTTCATATATTTTGAACTTTTATAAAGGAAAATTTCGGAATTCTTTTAAAAAACGAAATGCAAAACCCCCCTAAAAACGAATCGAGTTTAGAAACAATTTTTTCCATGGTTACCCAGCCCTATTATTTATTATTTTACTCTGTTATTATTATTAATTTCATTTCATTTATTATTTTATTCTATTTATTATTATTACATTTATTATTTTACTGTATAATTGTTGTTATTGCTACATTCATTATTTTACTCTTTTTATTATTGTTGTTGTTATTACATTTATTATGTTATTCTCTTTATTATTATTGGAAGCATACGTAAGCACATTTACATTGAAGAAGGTAAATAATCATTTAATCAGAGTTGGACAGTCTTCTCTTAAATTACCATTTTTGTAAATATTCAAAAATATATAACCTACTGATTCCTCAATTAATGTAATTTAAGTGGTATCTATTTTTATTTTGTAATTTAGTAAATTACAAAATAAAAATAGATACCACTTAAATTACATTAATTGGGCTGTGCAGTTTCGTTCGTTAATTTCGTAATTCGTTAATAATTCGTATTTAAAGTGGTTTACGATCCGATATTGAACCATTCAGGAACAACTAAAAATCGAAATGAATTTTTAAAATTTATTTCGTAATTGTTTCGAAATTGTTTTGGAATTGTTTCGTTATTATTTCGTTATTATTTCCATATGTCTGGTGCAAGTTTTATAGTTGTTGTTTTATCAGTGATAAAAAAAAATTATCACACCAAAAGTCAACAACAGAGGGAGAGCGAAGCTTCAGAAGTTCCCCCTGTCCCATTTGGAGGGTTTTTTAGCGTATTACGCAATCGCGTCCGCCATTAACGAATCGATTCGTTATTGTTCCGAAATTGTTTCGTAATTTCCGAAATTTCGTAAATATCGAACTTTTTAAATAAAAATTTCAGAATTCTTTTAAATAACAAAACGCAAAAAACCCCTAAAAACGAATCGAGTCTAGAAACAAATTTTTCTGTGGTTGCACAGCCCTATAATTTACCAGTAGCTGCTGCATTTCTCACCCTCAGCTTATACTCGAGTCAATCCGTTTCCTCAGTTTTTTGTGATAAAATTAGGTGCTTCAGCTTATATTCGGGTCGGCTTATACTCTAGTATATACGGTAAAACAATACAATTAGCTTTAAAATGACCATAACAATAACAATAGGCAGCAAGAACAGATTGTTCACCCATCAAAAGCTTGTTGGAAGGGAAAAGTTTTACAGGGTTTCCGAAAAGCAAGTAGGTCTCAGATGGTTCGAGTTTCAACCAGCAAGACATTCCATAAATAAGAGTCCACGATCGAGAAGGCTCTATGCCTAGTAGATGACAAATGATAGGTCCGGATGTTAGGGACTGCAAGCCCTTGGTTGACCCCTCTTTCTTTTTCCTTCCATTTCCCCCAGCATCATTGCCTCCTCTAAGCTTTCCTGTCTTCTCATGATGTGGCCAAAGTTCTTCATCTTTGCCTCTAATACAGGGGTCCTCAAACTAAGGCCCGAGGGCCAGATATGGCCCTCCAAGGTCATTTACCCAGCCCTTGCTCAGGGTCAACCTAAGTCTGAAATGACTTGAAAGCACCCAGCAACAAAAACAATCCTTTTTCATCAGCCAAAAGCAGGCCCACACTTCCCATTGAAATACCAATAAGTTTATATTTGTTAAAATTGTTCTTCATTTTAATTATTGTATTGTATTTTTTTTGGTTTTTTTTAAGAACTATCAAAAGTAGCATCTTTTTTTCATAGCAATACTCTACTTTGCCAATGGTATTTTTCCTCCAGAAATGTTGTTATCAAAACAAAAAAAACAAAACAAAAACTTTTATCAAAACCTTAAAAAATTGACAATGAAAGATCTTTGACTTAAAAAAAAACAATTCCAAAAATAGTTATTTTCTCATTTCCCCGTCTTCTTCCTCCTCCTCCACACCTCTTCTGTAAAGGACATTATTGCATCTTATCAGAACTTCACCAAGATGTCCAGACAGTGCTCCATCAATGTACTCTTCTGTATTCGCAAGCTGCGTGTTCATGTAGCCATCAACAGACATGAGGTAGCCCTTATGTTCCATTCCCCACTTCAATTTCACCATCACTGGCTTCCCAGTCAGCCCATTTAGGAAGGGCTTTGGATCGAGAGGCAAACTCATAGCAACCCGGCCAAGGAAGGGGAGGCTGCAAGCACAAAACAATTACTCTCTGGTGTGCCCGCCAGAGCTCTAAATTATATTATTGTATTGTTTTTAAGTGTTTTTGTTCTACAAATAAGATATCTGCAGTGTCCATAGGAATTCTTTTTTTAAAAAAAATTATAATCCGGCGCTCCAACAGTTTGAGGGACTGTGACCTGGCCCTCTGTTTAAAAAGTTTGAAGACCCCTGCTCTAATATCCTTCCCTCCAATGAGCAGTCGGGCTTTATTTCCTGAAGTATGAACTGGTTGGATCTTCTTGTGGTCCAAGGCACTCTACAGTTATAGAAAAACCACAAACAAAGTTTGAGATTCATTGATGGAGAAGATATCGAATCATAAAATTATAGAATCATTTAGTTGTAAAAGACCACATGGGTCATCTAGCCCAACACAGGTTGCCCAATTGCCCAGTCCTGGGCAACTTAGAAGATGCTGAATAGACTGGGCTCTGGTACCATGAGATGCAAAGCCAACCTTATGAAATGGGGCCACAAAGTAAAGTCCACGACATGCGGGTGTGGAGGAGAGCAAACCGCAGACCACCTATTACAATGCAGCCTGGGCCCTGCTACATGCATAATTGAGGATCTTCTTATAACAACACCAGAGACACTCCAAGTGGACAGCTACTGGTCAAAAGACATTTAATATAATGCCAAGTGTTTAAGCTTTGTGTTTTCTCAAAATGATCACAACTGTACCCTTGGTTCACTCCTGATACGATTAATAAAATCTAGCCCAACCCTCTGCCATGCAGAAAAAGCACAATTGAATCACCCCTGACAGATGGCCATCCAGCCTCTGTTTGAAAGTCTCCAAAGAAAGAGCTTCCACCACACTTGAGGCAATGTGTTTCACTGGTGAACAGTTCTTACAGTCACAAAGTTCTTAATGTTCAGGTGGAATCTCCTTTTCTGCCATTGGAATCTATTACTCCATTGAGTCCTAGTTTACAGGGCAGCAGAAAACAAGCCTCCTCCTCCTCCCTTATGGCATCCTTTCACATATTTAAACATAACAATCATGCCTACCCTCAACCTTCCCTTCTGTAGGCTAAACACTCAGCTCTTTAAGCCACTCTTCATATGGATTCATGGTCTCCAGACCTATGATCACTTTAGATGCACTCCTCTGGACAACTTCCAGCTTGCCAATATCTCTTTTAAACTGTGGTACCCAGAATTAGACACAGTATTCCAAGTGAGGTCTAACCATAGCGGAATAGAGACCCGTCATAACTTTTATTGATCGAGACACTATACTCCTTCTGATGCAGCCCAAAATCCCATTGAGGTTTTTAGCTGTTGCATCACATTGTTGGCTCATGTTTAACTTCTTGCCCACCGAGACCCCAATATTTTTTCACACATACTATTGTTGAGCCAAGTATCCTCCGTTCTGTATCAACCCCCCCCCACCCAAAAAATCCAGGTTAAAAAAACTTGGTTTATTCATGAATTTTTACTGGTTAATGAAATCCCCATGCTAAGCCTATGAGAAGATTAACGAGTTCCTCCAGAATTGCAAGCACTACCTCAAGGAAAATTTCACAATTTATTTACTCCATTACTTGCAACAATATTTGATATAGTGGAAGCATCCAAGTTGGTCTACCCATAACTGGCAAGCAAAACCTAACACATTGGGGGCCCCTTCATGAGGACCTTTAGTTCATGAGGGAACTAAAGGCCCTCATGAAGGAGAGCAGACTTGGTGGGATCAGTTGATACAGAACCATTGCCAATTGGACCGCTGAATGTGGGTGAACTTCAACTCCCATTATCCCAGTTCAATTCCCCCCAAATCAGGCAGTATGTAAAGTTGATCGTGAAGGGTATATGTGTCAAGTTTGGTCCATATATGTTGTCTATGGTGTTCACAGAGCACTCTGGATTGTGAGTGGACTATAACTCCCATCATCCAGGGGCATTTCCACACAACCCTCATCAGAATTTTCTGTTAGTCTTTTGTTTGGCAGGGGGAGGGGTCTGTGTGCCAAGTTTGGTCCAGATCTGTTGTTGGTGGGAATCACAGAGCTCTCTGAAAATGGGAGCCATCTTGGAAATGACATACAAACATACATACAAATATACATACAATATTTTCCTTTTTGATATATATATATATATATATATATATATATATATTTCACATAAACACTTTAAAATGAGGAGTTGTAGAACTAGACTTCTCCCATGCTACTCTATGAATATATACCTCCACTTTCTATGTTTTCTTCCCTTTTTTTAAAAAAAAATATTTATTAACATTTTCATATTACACAATCCATAAAAGGGGGAAGATAAAAACAGGAAAGGGGGGAAAAATAGAAAGGGGTGGCGAGGGGAAGAGGGGGTGGAGTTTATGGGTAGGGGAGGGGGACGGAGGGCAATTGGACAAGGGTTACGGGGGAAGGAGGGCGGGTAAGATGTGGGGTGAGATGTAAAGAGATAGGTTCTAGGTTGAAAATATAGTATAGATTAAAAAGAAAAGATTCAAGAAGATTCTTCTTTCCATCTACGTGACTTCCAGGACTCTTCAGGGTTGGCCTCTTCCTTTTCATTCTTTCCTCCTTCTCTCTTCGTCTCATTGAATTAAAACTTGATTTTGACTAGTATTTGTTATTTATATTGATTTCTGTCCGAGTCTATCTATATACTCTTCGTTTCTTTACTCTTATTTTTTTATCTTTAAATATTCCTTAAATTTTGTCCAGTCCGTTCCTATCTCCATTATTCCTTTACTCCTTTGTATTAAATAATTTAAACTGTCCATGTTTCTGACATCCATTATTTTTCCTTTCCAGTCCTCAATTTTTGGTGTTTCTTTTTTCCTCCACATTTTTGCAAAGCAAATCTATGTTTTCTTCCCTTTTACCCACATACTTGCATATTTGTAACTGTGCAGAATACTGTGATAGAAGCATCAGGTGGTATTAATGGCAACTCCTTTCATCTGCGGCAGGCTAGACGGCTGCCCCCCTCCCTGTCCAGGGACGACCTAGCTACGGTGATCCAGGCCACGGTCATCTCAAGACTGGACTACTGTAACGCCCTCTACATTGGCCTTCCTCTGTCAGTGATCCAGAAGCTAAAGCTGGTACAAAATGCAGCTGCTTGGCTTCTTGCAGGAATTCCGATGAGATGCCACATAACACCAATCTTACTACAGCTGCATTGGTTACCAATTGAGCACCGGATCACTTTCAAAGTGATGGTACTCACCTTTAAGGCCTTGCATGGTCTGAGGCCGATGTACCTGAGGGACTGCCTTACCCCCTACCAATCCCAGAGATCCCTCCATTTTGAGGACCAAGATCTATTGGAAGTCCCCAGTGTCAAGACCTTGCGTCTAACAGCAACCAGACGCAGAGCCTTTACAGCAGTGGCACCATCACTCTGGAATACTCTGCCACCTGAAGTCCATGCCTTGTGGGACTTCTCAGCTTTCCGCCGGGCATGTAAGACATACCTGTTTCGACATGCTTTTAATGTTTGATATTGTTGTTTTTAAATTGTTTTAAATTGCTTTTAAATTTTGTTAGATTTTAGCTATTCTTGTAAGCCGCTCCGAGCCCCAGGGGAGTGGCGGCATATAAGTTTAAATAATAAATAAATAAATAAATAAATAAATAAATAAATAAACTCTTGATACTTCTCACCATTGCCTAAGCTGGGTAGAGCTGCTGGGAGACACAGTGGCAGAATACCTTGAAAGCTGTACAGTTTCTACCTCTGTTCTATGCAATAGAATGCTATGCTACAATACAGAAATAAGTAAGGATTGAAAATGCCACAAGGCATTTGTTATTGTTTTGAAAATATCTAATTAAGGTCTTTAAAGGGATTACTTAATGGATATTGTTATTTGTGCTGTTTTTTCTCCATCAGCGGGAGTACATTTGCCCTGTAAACAATAGCATCATGTAAAAACATCAGTATTCATGTAACGCTGCAGTGGTAAAACTACTGTAGGAAACATTAGAACTGAGAGGTCGTGGTTGAAAAGGGAGCACAGTTACTTATCAGATACCCACCATGAGTGATACTGTGCCCGCCAACTGGACTCTGCCAACAACCAATTCTTAGAATGCATGAAAACCCATCTGGGAACGCATGTGGGTGGTTAATGGAAAGATAATCATAACAAACAGTGTTGCTTAATCCTGCTGTTTAAGTAACTCTGTGTGATTGAAAGCATAGCATTGTTTACTTTTATGACTGCACATTCCACATAGGATCTTCTTTTGATTATAAATTACCATCACTCTTATTCTAAGTTGATGAATACATTTCATATGCTGATTTATGAGCCTCCCTTTGGACTGCACAAGCTGCATGTGAGTTCCCTACAGCAGAGTGATAGAGAGATTGATTTCAATTTCAAGACAAAATTATCCCGGAGTACTCCCAGGTGAAGGTCTATCAGGATTTCCCAGGTTGAGAGAGGGATTATGCCACTCAAGCTATTTAAATAAAAAGAAATCTTACCCAATTATGTGAGTTCACAGATGACCACTTAAGGAGTCACTGCCTGCTCATGTTCTCCCTAGTGAAGAGAATACTCAGGGATGACAAAATTGCACTCTGTCACCAAAGGGAGGGGACAGTTTTGTCCTCTGATGACACAGAAAGTAGGGACAGGTCTATTTGTCTAACTGCATCTCCCTAGATAGACTATCTCATGCACTGCAATCAGCGGAGAGTGCCCTGCTCTCAGTCCCACCCCCATCACAAGTGCGGTTGGTGGGAAGGAGAGTGGGGGCCTTCTCCATGATCGCTCCCTGTCTCTGAATTCCCTCCCGAAAGTTTGCAAACTTTGTGTTTTTTTAACCTGTTTGTTTGTTTTGTTCTATTAGAAATGTAATACAATGGACCAGTTGCCCCTGACACGATAAATATTTGTAGTTGAAAAAACACTTAAAAACAATATAATAATTAAAATCAAGAACAATTTTAACAAAGATAAGTGTATTAGTATTTCAATGGGAAGTGTGGGCCTGCT